AGAGACCTAATACCCTTGATTTCTTCTCCCTCCCTTCCCTGACACATCCAATGAATGCCTTAAATTTGTTATTTTTTGTCTATCTCTAGAATCACTATCTAATTTAAGATCCTTGCCATCTCTTCACCTGAACGAATGATATCTTTTAACTAGTCTTATTCTGAAACACATGGTGGTGTGCTTGGAGCTGGCTCACGCCAGCTGGCGAGAGTGGGTTATCTACTCCTCTTCCCAACTCCATGTTCCATGATGTCATATTGGTAGCATGAAACTGGCCACAGTGGGAGTATTTACACCACAAAAACTGGCAAACACCAAAAAACAGGATCTTTTTTCCTCCCCTGTGGAGAGCTGGTTGTTAAACATTTATGAGCATGATTACCACTGCCCATTTCCCACACTGTGGCCAAACTAATCAACTATGCCACTCTCCTGATTAAAACCCTCAGTAGTTCCCTGTGGTCAAAAGATAATATATAAATTCCTTAGCATGGCATATGAGGCCTTTTATCATTTGGCCCTTGCCAAAATGTCCAATATCTTCTCCCATCTCTTTTTAGTCTCACAACTTATGTGCTAGCACGAAGGTCACAAACTGGTTCACTCAAACCAAATTTGTCTCACATATGTATTTTGCTTGGCCTGCACACTGTCTTTAATATTTTTGAGCAAACATTTATAACTTTAAGAGCTTCTACCCCCAAATCCATGTTTATGGCTTCTTTTCAAAAATTTATAACACTGCTCCTCACTTGTGCTTATGACAATTTACAGGAGCTGAGTAGTAGCTGCCCCCTTTGAGAGGGTCTCTGCAGTTTACCAGTTTCTATCATTCACTCACCCAAATTATACATATATACCTACACCTGGTCCTCATTTCTGTTACCCGTTTGGCCTGTATTTTAGACAACGTCATAAAATCTAGATTATTATCAGAATCTTCTGACCCTCATTATAGAACTTTCTCTTCCTCGGGAGGCTGAGGCAGCAGAATGGCGTGAACCCGGGAGGCGGAGCTTGCAGTGAGCCGAGATCACGCCACAGCACTCCAGCCTGGGCGACAGAGGGAGAATCTGCCTCAAAAAAAAAAAAAAAAAAAAAAAAAAAAAACTTTCTCTTCCTTTACTTTGGCTGTTCTGATGATAGTCCATGGTCTCTGCACAGCCTGGGAAGGAAAAACAGAAAACGAAACAGCAAGATGATGAAGGAGAACAAAGCAGAAGGGGTAGAAGGAGTAGAAAGAAACCCATACTCTATGCATCAGTCCCCACTTTGAAGCAATGGAATTGTGAAAAATGCAGGCAGAAATGTTGCAAGTTTGTGAGACCTCACAGTAGTTCCCTGCAAAGCTAGTCATCTAACCCTTCTTGGAGTCTTGGGATGTCTGCCTTCTCAGCTGGACATGGGAAGGAGAGGTCCAAGGAAATTAGCTCGTATTGACCCAAATTGTGGGAGTCAGGTTTGTAAACAATAGAGTCAATTTCTCTTTTCTTTTCTTTACTTTTTTATTGGAGACAGGGTCTCACTCTGTTGCCCAGGCTGGATGGAGTGCAGTGGCATGATCACAGCTCACTGCAGCCTCAACCTCCCAGGCTTAAGCAATCCTCCCACCCCAACCTCCCTACTAGCTGGGACCACAGGTGCTTGCCATCACACCTAGCTAATATAATGTTTTTGTTTTGTTTTTTTAGAGACAGAGTGTCACTATGTTGCCCAGGCTGGTCTTGAACTCCTGGACTCAAGTGATCCTCTTACCTCAGCCTCCCAAAGTGCTGGGATTATAGGCGTGAGCCACCACGCCTGGCCCAAGAGAGTCAATTCCTTAATGTGAAAATAGGAAATTTAATTTATGTTTCCTGAGTATCTGCTGTACGTCTAGCACTGTGCTAGATGCCATAGGGGAAACAAGAGCAGACCAGGACAACTCTGCCTTCAAAGAGCTCATAACCTTATCAAGAAGGCAAAAAGTACATGTGTGAAGTAATTTGAGAATAATGTAAGACAACATCAGAAAAGTGATTTTCTTGCATGTAACCTTGTGCCCACAATATCTGAGTGGAGAGCAAGAGATAAGCTCAAAATTAGGAGGAGGAGCTATTGAAGAAGTCAGAACTTGCAACGGCCCTTGAGTGGCAGAGAAATGGGGCGAGAGACCATTCCACACAGGGAATCCACAAGGATATACACACAGAAAGCAACCTGTGAGTGGCAACACTGATAGGAGGAGAAAAAACAGTCTGGGTGGGAGGGCAAGGTTGGTCACTGTAGACCAGTTTTCTTTTCAAAAGGTTTCCTCTCTGGCGTTAGGTACTCAGGAAGTCAAATGGAGAATCATAAAGTTCCTTGTTAGACAATATAATCAGATAGTTTCAGAAAGCATTTCATTATTCTACGCATAAACAACCACAAACTTTTGGCTGTATCAGACAAGTGGGGCTAAACACTATTCACAGGTATTGCTGTGTGTCTTGGACAGGACTGGCAGCACTGCCATGGAAGAAAAGAAAGGAAAAGAGTAAGAAAAATAGAAAGAATAAGGAAAACGGGGAGAGAGAGCGAGAGAGAGAGCAAAAGAGAGTGAGAGAGTGAGGAAGGAGGAATAGCATGGTAGGAAGCAGACCCATACCCCCAATCTAACCCAGGAAATCCTGTGCTACAGGTTAGCCTCTCTTCCCTTCTGCTCAACACTTTCAGATCCAGACAGAGATTGAGGAAGGTATCTGCCCAGAGAAAGGGCAGAGTTCTCAGATCTGAGCTCTCTTCTTCCTGGGGAGACTGTGACAAATTTCTCACTTCCCCATCTCTCCCAACTCTAGGCTTTATGCTGATGGTGTTTATATTCATTTCCAGGCCCACTCAGACCTACTTCTTCCTTAGCCTGTAGGCTTATGTTAATTTCTGAGATTACTCTTTCCTATGTCCAATTTACTTTATGAGCCAGTTGCTCACTTCCTGCTGTCTTGTTTGTAGCGGCTCCCTCTAAATGTTTAACAATGTTTACTCGCTGTTCCATGCTAGCAATTAATAACCATTATGTAGTCAGCTTTCAACTATTGAGAGGCTGATGCAAGCACTCAGTGAAGGAAACAGATTTCTTGCAAACTCCTCCTCCTCCACCTTTCTACTACTCTATGTTTTCTGGCCACTTCCCTGTTGGAGAATCCTGCGTGCAAGGTGGGAGGGAGGCAATGATGTTGAAAAACAGTAACTCATCCCTTTGTCAGTTAGCCAGTAACTGTGGGTTGTTGTTTTATTTTTTAAAGAAGTTTTGAGAGTAAAAAGAACCTATTGATTAAAACACGATTTGTCTCTCTGCTTACATTTAGAGAGATAAAGAAAATTAAAAACAAAACAAAAATCCCATGATTTGTCTATTCGATGAGACTCCGAATTATCCACGGTCTGTCCTACCCAGTTAAAATGAACATTTGAAACATTTTTTCCTAAAGTGTAATAAAATCAATATTTCTCAATTTTCTGGAATCCTATCCATGTTTTGAATACTCGGCTCCACCTCTTCATAAAGCCTCTGTTGCCTCTATTGACTATTCCAGTCCTCCCCTTCTCTAGCTCTAGATCCTACCACACTTAAACTCTTCTGTGAGTCTAGCAAGCTGCCTCAACTTCCCTACTGGACTGAGAAAAGACTGGGTCCTAAAAGAGACTTCTTTTTTTTTGAGACTGAGTCTTGCTCTGTTGCCCAGGCTGGAGTGCAGTGGCGTGATCTCGGTTCACTGCCAGCTCCGCCTCCTGGGTTCACGCCATTCTCCTGCATCAGCCTCCCAAGTAGCTGGGACTACAGGCGCCCGCCACCACACCTGGCTAATTTTTTGTATTTTCAGTTGAGACGGGATTTCACTGTGTTAGCCAAGTTGGTCTCTATCTCTTGACTTCATGATACACCCGCCTCAGCCTCCCAAAGTGCTGGGATTACAGGTGTGAGCCACCGTGCCTGGCAAGAGACATTTCAAAGTTGAAAGATTTTTTGATTCATTGATCAGGTTCTGCGCACTCACCCAGAAGTGCCCCTGAATACCCAAAGAAGCCCACACCTTCATAGCTGCTATTTTCACTAAACATTACATCATGGACATAGCAGTTTTATCAATGGTCCTTTTGCTATCAGTATCCCCTCCCCAAGCCGAGAAGTCTTCATTTTCAGAGTACTTCTTCTTGACCCTAACGAATTATCTTTACCTTCCTGGGACCTACAGGAAGTTGGACGAACCCTGTCTGGCCTTGGTCTTCGGTCCCCTGAAGTTATATATATATGTGTGTGTGTGTGTGTGTGTGTGTGTATACGTATATGTGTGTGTGTGTCTGTGTATACACACACACAAAGTTAATGTAATCATTTGAGGGAATCTTCTCTTCAGCCCCCGGGGTTTGATTTAATGATACGGTCTTGAAGATTACTGGTTGTCGTTAGCCTTTCAAATAAATATTTCTGCAGCCTCTACTGCTCATTTGGAACTGAGCAGATAATACTATGTACTGTTACCAGTTTTATGTAAGTTTGCTCTACCCAAATAATTCTCCAGGAGGTCAGGAAAAAATGTCCTTTACTTCTCTGTATTCTCCAGTATGTCTCAGACAGAAATGGGCATGTTGTCATTGCATAATTGACAACTTGACTCTAGAGCCGAGCTCTAGAGTCTTGCTTGGATTTGAATCTTGGCTCTGCTGACTAAAAACTTTGTAACCTTAGGTGTGTTCATTAATCTCCCTGTGTCTCAGCTTCTTCATATGGGAAGAATATTTACCTCACAAGGTTGTTGTGGAGATTAAATGAGTAAAGACATGTAATGTGCTTAGAATAGTGGCTGGCACACAATAAGCATTCCATAAACATTAGCTATAAGGAAGGAGGTTTAGGAGGTCAAAAAATTGAAACAAGAATGGAGACTCTAATTCCTGAATTGCCAGCATTTTATAGGACCTATGCTTCTCTCTCCAAACTTTAATCCTGCCCTTCTATGCTTCTCATTTCTTGTGCCTAGGTCCCCACTCTGATGATGGACACACAGTTCTCTGAGTTCACACCGGACATCACTCCCATCATGCTGGCTGCCCACACCAACAACTACGAAATCATCAAATTGCTTGTCCAAAAACGGGTCACTATCCCACGGCCCCACCAGATCCGCTGCAACTGTGTGGAGTGTGTGTCTAGTTCAGAGGTAGACAGTCTGCGCCACTCTCGCTCCCGACTGAACATCTATAAGGCTTTGGCAAGCCCCTCACTCATTGCCTTATCAAGTGAGGACCCCATCCTAACTGCCTTCCGCCTGGGATGGGAGCTCAAGGAGCTCAGCAAGGTGGAGAACGAGTTCAAGGCCGAGTATGAGGAGCTCTCTCAGCAGTGCAAGCTCTTTGCCAAAGACCTGCTGGACCAAGCTCGGAGCTCCAGGGAACTGGAGATCATCCTCAATCATCGAGATGACCACAGTGAAGAGCTTGACCCTCAGAAGTACCATGACCTGGCCAAGTTGAAGGTGGCAATCAAATACCACCAGAAAGAGGTAAGCTGAGCTCATGTCTGCTTTCAGGGAAGCTTAAGGCCTCCAAAGCCTGGAGCAGCAGAGCAAGAATCAGCATTTTTCTACCATTTTGCTCTCTAACAAACAAATGGTTGGGCAGGCCTCACAGCTGGGCCCATTTATCCAAGGCACAGACAACCTTTTTGTATTTTCTTTATGGCCAGATAAGTAACCATCTGATTCTTTGATGGAAAAGCATTCATGCATTTAACAAATGCTTGCTGAGCACTGTTCTGAGTGTTTGCAATACAGAAGACAGACACTGACCCTGCTTTCATGGAGCTTACAAGCTGGTAGTGGATATGGAGTAAATGATCACTTTAACGAATATATAGTTACCTACTAAGATATGTACTTTGAAAGAACAGTGTTCTGTGATAGCACATAACAAAGGATCCTATCCTATATACTGGGGATATAGTGGGCAGTGATTACAGAAGGGTCACTGCCTGGATGCTGGTAATTGTTGGCACAGCTGAATCCCTGGCAGCCCCTTAGTGAGAAGGCTAAAAAACACAGTTGAAAGATGAAGTCATACTCAGGGTTTGTAGTTCAATAAAAGGTTGGAGCAGGATCTGCTATGGTATGACCTCCAAAATGTTAGGTTCCACCTCTTTGAAGGAGGGCAATTCAAGCAGGTCACAGGTGAGGCTCCGCTTTCCATTTAGGCAAGATTTACAATCAAGCAGGTGTAGTTCTATGCCATCTTATCAAACAGTTTGGGAGAGCCTCCTAACAAGGCTAACTTAGCCCTTTAAGGAAACAGCATGATACCATGGAAAAAGCAGGGACTGTGGAGCCAGAGCAACTGAGGATAGAATTTTAACCCACTAGCTGTATGACCTAAAGAAACTCACTCCTATTTTCAGGGCATTAGTTTTCTCATTTATAAAATAGAGATGAAAATAGTTTCTTCACTTCATAGGGGATTGTGGGAAATAAGAAAATATAGCATTCAGTGCATGGCACCAGAAGTATTTTAATGTCCATTTCCATCTCTTTTCCATGCTACCTGGAGTCAAAGCAGCTGAGGGGTGCCTGCCAGCTGAAGGGCAACTGGCAGTGCCATTCCTTCATGGATCCAGGCTCTGAGACAAAACTCATTGTGTGTTTATCTGGTCCCTTTTTCTCAGACAAAAATAAAAGTGCTCTGCCTTAGAAATGAGGCAAAAAACAAATACCAGGGCAACCTGGAAAGGGATAAAAAATGAAAAAGAGCAACATGGAGATCGAAAGGGCTATACTGGAGGAAGTGGTAAATGGTTAGGCCTACCTATGAGTCCCCTTATTTTATTTTTGCCATTTACCTGCTTTAAGTTATTTCAATAAGCCTGGTGTTGTGCTTACTTCCCTGGAGAAATGTAAAGATAAAATAAAATAATAAAATGAAATAAAATAGGTAATGTACTTATGCATAGCGAAATACAGAGCATACAGTAGCAGTCAATAACTATTAGGTGAGCAGGGTGTGGTGGCTCACACCTGTAATCCTGGCACTTTGGGAAGCCAAAGTTAGCAGATCATCTGAGGTCAGGAGTTCGAGACCAGTCTGGTCAACATGGCGAAACCCAGTCTCTACTAAAAATATGAAAATTAGCTGGGCGTGGTGGCAGATGCATGTAATCCCAGCTACTCAGGAGGCTGAGACATGAAAATCACTTGAACCTGGGAGGCAGAGGTTGCAGTAAGTCAAGATTGTGCCATGGTACTCTAGCCTGGGCAATAGAGTGAGACTCTGTCTCAAAAAATATTTACTATTAGCTGTTAAAATTATTCATTTTTATTGTTACACATAGAGGACTCGTGGCATATGGTCTAATTCTGTACAGTAAAATGGCAGGTAATAGATATAGTAAAGGCCCATCCTTCTCTTATCCCACCCTCTCTCCCACAGCCCTGCTGTTGATGTGAAGTATCAATCATTGTGTTAAGCAATCTGCTGTATCTACACTTTGATATAAGTATATATTTCCATTAAAGATGTATATTATCGTTTCAGTGTGTTTTCACTTTACATAAATTGTTATAATACTGTGAGAAAGAAAATCACAGATATTTTTAGAACATGAATTGCTTCCAAGTGACAGAATGGTTAATGGGAATAAAATAGTTTTAAAAAAATAGATAATTGCAGAATACAACTAAAGTTTACAATCCTCGCCCCGCTGAATATGAGATAAACTTTACAATTTTAGGCCCCTCATGCTCTTTAAAATTGAGAATGCATTTATTTTCAAACAATTTCACTGCAATATTTCATCAATTTTGTGTTGGTAGGTCACCTTCTATTGTATGGCTTGACTCCACCTGCTCATATGATCTTCATTTGCCAGTTTTAGTTACTGTTGCATTTGAAAACCAGTGTGATGACTTTCTCACTGTCATGGGGATCTGCTTGTCACATGACCACGGAATCACTTTTGTATTATACATAACTGCCCCCCAACCCTCATTAACCTTCTCATCACTTTTTTCCACTTTGTTTTAGTCCTTTTACTGTCCAGAAACTTTGTCCCTTGTATTCTTTATTCCATAATTTCTTATCATTGTTTTTACGTAATATCTTTATGCTACTATATTTTCATATATTTCTTAACTATCATCCCACTAACCTGAATGTGCCCCGGGGTCTTATTTTTTCTTGCTCTCTTGATTAATCATCAGAGACTCCAACATTGTTTCCAGGGTCCATTCCTGTGTACACTGAAGTGGAATTTTTATTGTGGTAAGATATACCTAATATAAAATTTCAAATTTTAACCACTTGTAAGTTTACACTTCAGTGGAATTAAGTACATTCACATTGCACAACCATCATCACTAGGATTCATTTTTGAAGATGCACAAGTTTTGGAGTGTCTATTTTACTTTCAATAGTGAACCTATCTAAGTATAGTTTCATATTTCACAAGGCTACTTTTTAAAAAAATTTTATTTATTTATTTATTTATTTTTGAGACGGAGTCTCACTCTGTCACCCAGGTTGGAGTGCAGTGGCACAGTCTCGGCTCGCTGCAACCTCCGACTCCTGGGTTCAATCGATTCTCCTGCCTCAGCCTCCATAGTAGTTGGGACTACAGGCATGCACCACCACACCAAGAAAATTTTTGTATTTTTTTTTTAAGTAGAGTTGGGGTTTCGCCATGCTGGCCAGGCCGGTCTTGAACTACTGACCTCAAGTGATCTGCCCACCTCGGCCCCTCAAAGTGCTGGGACTACAGGCGTAAGCCACCGCACCCAGCTTATTTTTATTATTTTTAAAGACAAGGTCTCACTATGTTGCCTAGGCTGGTTTCAAACTCCTGGCCTCAAACTCCTGGCCTCAAGTGATCTTCTCATCTCAGCCTCCCAAAGCGCTGGGATTACAGATGTGAGCCGCCATGCCCAGCCAGCTAAATTATGTTTAATCCATAACACTAGCAAAGTAGCCCTTCTTAACTATTCAATATTATGGATATTCAGCAGTAATCAAAGTAATTTCAAAAATCAAGTAATTTCAAAAGTAAATTACTTTTTGAAAAGTAATTCAAAAAGCACTCTATTTATGCAAAGATCAACAATTTTAGGCCTGGTGCTATTCACTGACATTTCTGAATCAAATAAATGAAAACCATGGTATTTAGTAGACTGAATTGTTTCCATCAGATCACATCAAACTCTAGCTCCAGGTATACAGCTGGGATACTGAGTGACTGTCAACTTCAATGTCAATAGTGATAAAGAATATAATTCCATAGAGCCACTGAAATTCAAATATGGCCTAAAGTTTAGTCTCATAGCCAGAGACTTCAGAATCATTTGGAGATTTATATTTATATATTTTGCTCCAAATTTTCCAAGATAAATTATCTTAGCAATGGCTATACATCAATTTTAACATAATTAGTTTCTCTTCAAACTAAGCCACACTGATTAGAAAGGCAGGCTTGAGAAATCATATATATCTTAAAGTTTATACTCCAAAGGTATCGCTTCAGGAATGTAAAACATAATTTATACTCATCAAACTCTGTAAATCCCTTCTGAATTGTGACTTCATTTCTAGGAAAAAAAAAAAAAAAAAAAAAAAAAACTGTAATCCTTCCCAACCTGTGAATTAGAGTTTTTTTTTAAATATGTGGTTTCATTGAGTCTCAAATGCATACAGCCTCTAATTTCTCTCTATTCAATTCACATGTGTAGTTTAAGGCTGAATAATCCCACTTCTTAAACAAATCAGCAATGTCCTTTTTGGAGTTGTGTTTTTGTAATTTTAACTTTAGCATATAAATTTAGCTCAATGATGTGAGCTACTGATGTTCCAACAATTCAAGTGTCTGTGAGAACTTCGTTCTCAAATGTTCTTGATTTGAGGAATCACACTGATAAGTCTGTTCAATACATATCCAAAATCTAGTCTTTAAAAAAAAAAACTGAAACACTCACACTGTGCTTAGAACCACAAGCATAAAAATGTCATGATTTTGATCTTTATTTTATCATGTTATATAATACACTTGATTTTTGCAGTATAAACTCTTCTCATGTAGGATTTGATGAAACTAGACAAACCAATCTTTCCTTTTGATGCAAATAAATGAATGAAACCTAACTTGATGCTTCCATTATTATTATTATTTATTTTTATTTTTATCTTCGAGACAGAGTTTCACTATGTCACCCAGGCTGGAATGCAATGGTGCCATCTCAGCTCACTGACCTCCATCTCCCAGGTTCAAGTAATCCTCCCACCTCAGCCTCCCTAGTATCTGGAACTACAGGCATGCACCACCACGCCTGGCTAATTTTTGTATTTTTAGTAGAGATGGGTTTTACCATGTTGGCCAGCTGGTCTCAAACTCCTGACCTCAGGTGATCCACCTACCTAGGCCTCCCAAATTGCTTGGATTATAGGGATGAGCCACCACGCCAGTCCCATGTTTCCATTATGTTTATGGCAATTAACTCAGCTTTTCCATGTTAGACAAAATTTCTCAAATTCTTTGAAGGCATATAGTTTATGTGTGCTAACTCATCAAGAAAAACACCTATTAACATCTTAAGTGGGTCACACTCCAGGATTTAGAGGAACACATTTTCCCTGAGGGTTACATATCAGGAGCCCCAAACCAAGATGGAAACATTTTTTAAAAGGACATTTTTTTTTTTTCAAATGACCTTCATACCCTAAAGACTGTAGGAGAATGGACAAGAATTATTTCCCAGGATCAGAATTATTCAAAGAGAAACTGCCTCTAGATGAGAATGAAATAACTGAGCTAAAAGAGAAAAGTTGTCTTTTCCATTTGATTCCATGCTTAATAACAGTTGGACCATGAGGTTCTGTCTTCAAGGATAGATAGGATTACTTCCTCAATGTCTGTAATCAGGAATAGGACAGAGCAGATGCACTACTTCTCCACTCTCTAGTGCCATCCCTGATGACACCTTGCTAAATCTTTTAAAGTGTACTGTGATTCCAACTGGGGAAAAAATGAAGAAATACCCAGTACAAATGGAAATTTTCCCAATGAGTCGAGGTTTGTGGGAGAGAAGCATCAAGAACTCCGGCACGTTGGATAAGGACCCAAAGATAAGCCTATTCACATCTTAAGTTTCAAATAGACAACATGTCTTTTTAGAACTTGAGCTTAAAAGCTGTATTTCACACAAAACATTTTTTTCCTCCATAAAATGAGCTGCAACAGAGCTGATTTTCCAAAGCTGGAAGTTAGGGGTTTGCTTACATTAAAAATTTAGAAGTTACAGTTTCAAGAAAGGCAAGTTCCCCCACTTTTAAGTAAGAATAAAGGTATTAGAATAACCAATATTTCCAGAATTTGTCATAATATGGAGGCATGTGTATTTACATGCTTTCAACAACAGATTTTGTCAATGACACACCTTTTTTTTTTTTTTTTTTTTAGACAAGGTTTCGCTTTGTTGCCCAGGCTGGAGTGCAGTGGCATGATCTTGGCTCACTGCAACCTCCATCTCCCAGGTTCAAGCTATTCTCATGCCTCAGCCTCCTGAGTAGCTGGGATTACAGGCGCCCACCACTGTGCTGGCTGATTTTTTTGTATTTTAGTAGAGATGGTGTTTCACCATGTTGCCCAGGCTGGTCTCGAACTCCTGAGCTCAGGCAATCTGCTTATCTTGGCCTCCCAAAGTGCTAGGATTACAGGCGTGAGCCACCGCGCCCAGCCAGTTAATGACATCTTTGATTAGAGGAATCTGAAACACTAAAGTTGTGTTTCATAACCATGCCCCCCTTGTCCACCTTATATGAATATTTGGGGTAAACTTAAAATTATCTTTTGAGATGCCTTCAGCATTTTTCTTTTTTTTATTATTTTTTTGAGATGGAGTCTCGCTCTGTCACCCAAGTTGGAGTGCAGTGGTGCGATCTCAGCTCACTGCAAGCTCTGCCTCCCAGGTTCACGCCATTCTCCTGCCTCAGCCTCCCGAGTAGCTGGGACTACAGGTGCCCGCCACCACGCCCAGCTAATTTTTTGTGTTTTTAGTAGAGATGGGGTTTCACCGTGTTAGCTAGGATGGTTTCGATCTCCTGACCTCGTGATTCACCCACCTCAGCCTCCCAAAGTGCTGGGAGTCACCACATCCGGCCACCTTCAGCATTTTTCTAGGGTCTTTTAAGATGAAATTGTGACCAGGTATAAAGACTTCAGTGATTTTCCTTACCTTGTAAAATGCAGTTCCAACCTTCATAAGTATAATGGCAATCACCTTCAAGGATTATTTATTACCCTGAAGAGATGTGACATTGGAAACCGACAGTTTTATTTATCAATACAAGTAATTCACAAATAACTAACTTCAGGAACTATACGTTATTTTTTCTTTCTTTAGGGATTTTCTGTTGGTTGGTTGGTTTGTGAGCTTTCTGAGGGTTAAAGAGACAGAAGAAACCCAGTTTTAAATATGGGCTGGAGAGAGTAGGATCTCTGAAAAAAATATAAGAAGTATTCCCAAGAGGAATCACTAAGTACATCTAGTCTATTAAGATAAGACTGTCAGTACAAAAACACAACAGTCAGCTTTGATGTAAAAAAATCATAAAAATCAAGTTGGATCATAGTGGGCTAATAACGTTCAGAGTTACATAACCCCCTCAGGAACAAAATCTTAGTCTTGAATGGAATATAATTCATTATTTCCTGAAGGGCTTTTTCATATTGTTTTTTTCCCTCATTGTTACTCCTACTAGAACTCAAGTAGACTCCCCAAAATAATTCAATTTGGTAAAAACAAAACAAAACAAAACAAACAAACAAACAAAAAAAGCTCCAAAGAATGAAACAATAGCTGATTTCCAAACTCTAACTTTGTCATGAAGTAGAATAAGAAAGCTCTAATCTCTTAGAAAACAGGTGTAAAACTATTGGATAATTATTTCATGTCAAATAGACTTTCGGGTATTGTCATACAAACTTTTTTTGCAGATGGGTGAATTTTCTTTTTAATTTTTAAGTTCTGGGGTACATTTGCAGGATGTGCAGGTTTGTCACATAGGTAAACATGTGCCTTGGTGGTTTGCTGCACTGATCAACCCATCACCTAGGTATTAAGTCCAGCATCCATTAGCTGGGAATCCATTACTGATGCTCCCTCTCCCCACCCCAGCCCCCAACAGGCCCCAGTGTGTGTTGCTCCCCTCCCTGTGTCCATGTGTTCTCATTGTTCAGCTCCCACTTATAAATGAGAACATGTGGCTTCTGGTTTTCTGTTGCTGCGTTAGTTTGCTGAGGATAATAGCTTCCAACTCCATCCATGTCCCTGCAAAGGACATGATCTCATTCTGTTTTATGGCTGCATAGTATTCCATGGTGTATATGTACCACATTTCCTTTATCCAGTCTATCACTGATGGGCATTTAGGTTGATTCCATGTCTTTGCTATTGTGAATAGTGCTGCAATGAATATATGCATGCACATTTTTCAGATATTCCTGAAAAGTCCTGATTTCATATATTGTCTCAATGTCAGATATGTCATGCCATGAAAACCATTATTTCAATTGTTCCTTATTATCACTGAAGGTAAGCAGAAAATTTATTAATAACCCTCATTTTGCAAATGAGAAAGGACTATGTTTAGAGATTTGTTTAAGATCATCTGACAAAGCCAGAAGTAGAACTTCAGACTCCTAGTACAACATTCTCTCTTATTATGCCCTGCTACCTTATGCTGAGTGAAGTTCTTGTGTGCCCATTTGGTAGCCTCCAAATTCACCACCAGGTATTTTAAGATGACCACACCTTTTTTGATTTGTGAATGAAAGTTTATTAGTTAAAATCTCTTGAAAGAAAACAATAAAATGGTTTAGATCAATAGCTAATACAGATTGTAAACAATCATAAGATAATAACTAGCAGTAATCAACACACATAAGAATTTATATAGGCACAACTCCCCACATATTTTAGCCCAAGCAAATCAGGATGAAAACTTGTACTACCTAATCTAATGCCATCTACCAGCCTATCTTCCTTGATTTTCACACCTTTAAGCTTGTCTCAGAATGATGAGCCCCTCTCTTTTCTGCCATGCTATATAATAATTGGCTTTAGCATTGGTCTTAAGAAGATACAGAAAAGGGCTAATTTGCATAAAGGATCAGCCACTCACTCCATTCTCCTGGAGGAGATGCAGGATTTCAGTCAGAGATATCCAATCAGTGGACTAAACTAGTTAATAATTCTCCATCTAATTGAGCTTTCAGATACATGACTTATGTCAATCGCCTACCAGCTATTTATAGCAACATCATAGGGTTGGCTAATTTGCAGAAGACAAAAACAGGGCTTTGGTCATAAACCTGTTTAGAAACTAACTCCATATCATGGCTTTCCATCGTAAACAGTCGCATAACTGTTGACAATTTATTAATTTGCTTCTCTCTCCTGAAAACACCATCCCCGCTAGTTCTTGTTCCTAAGTATTGTCTTATTTCCTAAACATTTCTTTTCACTATTCTCTAATTCTGTTCCATAGAGAAAACATACTTAATACAACAATCTATTCCTTGGGGCAGGGGTCATATCTTAACAATCCTTAAGCGCATACAATTACAGAATCAAGGCAAACACTGGAATATATCTTATCTAGTTCCTGAGGTACCATTACAGTACAATCTGTCCAGGTGACCCAGGCAAACAAGGGGCCCGCCAGCTCCACATATTATGAGGTTGTAGCATCGTCCTGCTTTGATGCCTAAGAACTATATTAAACATTACGGGCTGTCTTATGGGCTGGTTCAAATCTTTGTCCTGTTTCAAGGTCTAGAGTAGTCTCACAGATCTCTCTTGATGTAGTTTCATAACCTCCTTGAGTTAGTATGGTTACTTGTGTTCTCTTACAATACACTAACAGTTTTAACAAGCTTACATTAATCTGTTGTAGAATTGTTATAAAGTCCATATTCCAAAGTTCTACTCAGAGGAATAGCTACCCTTTGGGATCTATCATGTTTAAGAGCACCAGGTCTGTCCTGCCACAGTTAAACTGCTCACCAAATAAAATTTGTAGCGGACTGGTGGCTTCTCCTTGGATATGTTCTCTGATATTGTCCAGGTATTTATGCTTTGAGTTTTATTGTGACACAAAATTATAGCCCAGTTTCCTAAAGTCCAAAATCCTTGTGGGGAGTGTGTATCTTCCCTGGCTGTTTCTGAAGCTATAATTAAAGCAAAGGTTCCTTTAACTTTTATCTAGTTCTCATATTTTTATTCTTATTTACTAAATGTATAACTTTTCTTGTTTAACTATTATCACTAATCTTTCTAGTAAAACTGTTCCTAATGGAATGGAGTGATAAACTGTTTCACCTTGCTTTCCTACTACTCTATTTAGGTTAATTTGGCATAGTCACTTTGTACTCCATCAATTATTTGCCATTTTTGACATAACTGCATATCTACAGTCCCCTATACTGGGAAAGCGAGATAGTAAGATTCAGTTTGTCCAGTGATTGTGGCAGTAAAATCCCTCAATCTGCTATCCCATGTGGATTTTAATTATCCAGTTGTTGTTTTATGATATACTTTTTATTTTTCCTATTTGTGTTTTTCTTTGCTCCTCTAAGTCTCCTGAATCTTCACCTACTCTTATCAATCCTTTCACATAGTAGTCTATTGTAGAAAGTTCTCATATTAATATGTTGAATAGTTTCATAAATTCTGATTTGCAAAGATTAGCTCTGAAGTCATCTGTGTTAAATATCGTTTTAATCCTTTTGACTATATGCTTTAGGCCTTTATGTGAATTGCTATAGTCCAATTTCCACCAGTGTGGATTTCCTTCTACATCTCATTTCTTTGCAGTTTGTATATAACACATTGTCTAGTGATATACCTTTATATCTTTACCTAGTTGTTGCCCATGTCATGAGATGCAATGGTCATTCTCTAGGAAGGAGGACCATAGTGTCCATGGGCTTGTCTAAAAGGTAGCTATTTTTCCAAATAAAAATGAGGGTACTGTATGGCATGCAATTGATATGGTCAGTAAATTTCCTGCATATTTATTTTGTCTCTTTCTGTTTTGATTTGTGGGTCCTTCAGCTATTCCATTTTCCCCTTCTGGCATATGCAAAATTATTGTGGCTAAATACCAACCCATATTTTATCTAAATTCATTACTGTACCTATCTCTCAACAGTAAATATTTCTAGGCTGAGGTTGCAGCAGATTCACTGTAATAAGCCTATTAACCATTCTTTTTAAATTAAGCTGTATTCAGGAAGATATATTTTATCCACATCCAGTGCGGATAAATTACATACAATTACAGAATCAAGGCAAACACTGGAATATATCTTGTCTAGTTCCTGAGGTACCACTACAGTACAATCTGTCCAGGTGACCCAGGCAAACAAGGGGCCCGCCAGCTCCACATATTATGAGGTTGTAGCATCGTCCTGCTTTGGTGCCTAAGGACTATATCTAGTCCACAGATATCTAGTCCAATATGGTGAGTGTTTGTCTTTCCATTGGTGAATAATCCTTGTAGGGCTTTCCTTAGCCCTTCTATTACTTCTCTCTCTGATTATTTGGTATAGTGTGCCTTTTCCATTTGGGGAATAACAGTGCAAAGTAGCTGCAATGTGGTCAGAATGTGCAAGAACAGTCCTGCATTGGAACTCTTGGTCCCAGCTTTTTCAGTTTTCTCCTTGGCAACAGTCATTTGAAAACCCTTCTGCACTTTTATTATCTGGTAGATAGTGCTCTTTTAAAATTACCTCCCTTAGTCTGCTATAGCATTTTTAGTTGGACACATGCTCTCTAAAAGGATAAGTTAGGAGTTATATCCTTTCAAATAAAAGCATCCCAACATTGTCTTGTTAATGTGAATGTATTCATTTACTGTGATGCTACCCTGGGGGATATTCCCCTTTTCATTTCCATTCATTGGAGAGCAGTGAAATTAGTCCCAAGATGTGATAGAGTTTGTCAGTTCTCCCTTCCATAATTAGGTGAGGAATTTCTTTTCTTTACTATTGTTTGCTCCCATCATCAGAAATTCTAGCATGACAGTAAGTACAGGTAAAGGGAGACCTACATGGCAAAAGCCAGAACTTTTTGAATAACAACAAAGAGGAAAAAAAGATCAGCTTTTGCTAGAAGTAAATCAAATCTTACTTGTTATATGGGTTATTAGTAATGAAAATGTGCAGAACTGTGAGAAAACACATATTGCTAATATACAGAAAATAAGAATATATTGAAACAGAGAAATGATCAGTTTTCACATCCCTGGGGGCGGGGGCAGAAATTGGGTCTTAGTCACTTGTTAAGTCATCATTTATACCAGAGACTGTATCTTCATATAAGTTATCCATGTCTAACATAGCCTGATCTATATCAAACATTAGGTCTTCATCCTCTCTTGGTGTAAGTATTGAGTCTAAGTCTGAGAGATCAGGGAGATCTGGTAGCGAAGGCTCCTCAGGAAGAGGTGCATCTGCTTCAGTCTCTTCTGCTCTACCATTTTCTTCTACATAAGGAACTTCTTGTACTTGTATAATGAATTGTAAAAGCTCATCAGCTATTCTTATTAACTGGGCTACACAAGCAACAAGTCCATCAATGAGTACAGGAACTGACACAGAATCCATGCTGCAGTGCTCTTCTAAATAGATAAAATATCACTACAAGCTCTAGCAAATGGACTCTCGGTGACAATGGATAGTATAAGGGGCTAACAAAGGTTCTGTGGTTGGTTTAGGCCAGAAATTAAGATGTTGATATGATTATGATGCTGATCAAGTACAGAATGAGAACAGTAGAACAATAGAACTTTTTGATAATGTTGGTAAACCGTGCACAGAATTTATATATGGTACTCTTGTTTGTACTAGTGGTGAACTGCTATTATAATGACCATCAGGCGAACTGTCACAGCCAAGAGAAAACAGCAAAGCAGACCTAATAATAAAAAAGAGAGAGATATAAAGATTAGTGTCTTTGAGCCTTTATCCATCCTACAGGCTACAGCTACTGGTTACCCCATCAAGAATTGCCGTTAAGGTTGAAATGATATGTCTAACTATAGCCCCTCCTTTGTTGCTGGCCTTGTGAGGCTCTACTACTTCTCTTTCCTTTGAAAACCTCATGGTCTTTATCTCTTGTTAAGAGATTTGGTAGAAAAGTAAGCATAGGCAGTTTGTCTGTCTTTCCTGAACATCTCATTTGAGGAAGGATACACTCACTCAGGGTCTGTCAATTATTAGCACCTTTGCCTCATTGCCATTTATATCTGGTGCTGCTGAATTCTTTCTGTGTTTTTTGGAATCCATTCATTAAAATTTCCAGATGCCCTGAAGCCTGGGGAGTTTATGGTAAATAAAAGTCCTATGTTCTCTGTATTTTGCCAAACTTTGGAGAATTTCAGTTATAAAACTAGTTCCTTAATAATTTCCTATTACTGCCCCTCTTCCATATCTAGCAGCTCATTCTTCCAACTTTATCTAAAGCTATGGTTGTACTATTTTCATCTGCATTTCTGGTGGGCTCTTTGCAAACCCACTTTCTGAGTAAGTATATACTTGTATAAGGCAATATTATTTGTTTGAAAATCTAGATATTGACTCAATATAATCTACCTGCTACATTTGTCTGGTTTACCACTCCCCACCACACTTAAAGTGAACCTGTTGAGGATGCAGGAAGTTTTTAGTATTTTGACATATCTCATATTTCTTACTCACTTTTTTATTTGATTCTGTTTTTCTAACTCTTTCTTCTCTACTAACCTGGTACATACATGCCCACATGCCCTGAGGTTTCACAAGCCCATCCTACAACCTTAAATTGAACTGAAAAGGGAGCTGAGTTGAAACTTAGAGTCCCCAAAACTTCAGGGTCTACATTAGTTTTGGGGGCCTAGATTATCTCCCCTCTCATTCCAAATAGATTCTTCTGCTTTTCCATTCTGATGAGCTGATACATGTCTTTATAAGAATTTCTAAATTCCTTTCACAAATTTATTTTCATATCTCCCTTCACCAGATTGTATTTCCTGCAATAGTCCAGTTCTGTATGGCTGATCAGTGTAGCTATGTACCTTTGGCCAGTTTTTTTTTTTCTTGGTTATATCTACATGTTAAATTTCTGGCTATTAATTCTGCAAATTGGGCTAACTTTCTTTCTCCAGCTCCAGTCAGGCTTTTCCTAGTTGAAAGCCTTAGGAGGTAGTCATCTATATAACTCCTTTAGGATTCTACCAAGTCTATTATTGCCCAGTTTTCAGCAGTTCTGACCAGAGTGGGGCCCAGCAAGCCAGAGACTTCACTTTCAGCTGACTGTAATCCTTGGATATTTATTGGAGTACAGAAAATCATCAGCCAGATGGTCTGTGATTTGCACATAGAGCTTGCTGGTCTCCACAGGACCTTTTTCGACCCACTCAGTTGTATACTATCTCCACTTAGTATAAATCCTGTAAGATCACTACATTTTTTTTTGTCCCAAATCCTACCAGTAGACATGGGGTTTGCCCTGATGATAAGGGTCACAACAATAATGACGAGAAGGCACGATTTTGTTGGAGGCAACTTTCCATATGGAATATAGGAGAATGGGTACTAGAGGCAGAGCAGTTTGTTTTATTAATTCAAAGGATCTGTTTGTTTAAGAGAAAAACGTCTCATGAAAGAAAATATGGAGAGAAATCAAGGAAAGGAATTCGGCATTTATTTAGAACATGCATCAGCTCATCAGAAGGAAAACACGGAAGAAAGATGTGTGTTAAATATTGTTAGAGAGCACCATCACATTTTTCAAAGGAAGCAATAACTACTATATGGTATATACAGCCCAAAGGCACAAGAAGATGACAGGAACACCCTCACACAAAACCTATTTAACTTCTGACTTCCCATTCACCCAGTTTTTTTTCTCAACTTCTCTATCTTCCTCTGGGACTCTTTTATTCCTCCTCTTGGTCAATATGCTTCCATTTATTCACCTATGTGTTTCATTCTATTTCACACCCTCTCTATCTCCATCTACTCTTACCCTTTTCCATCATCTTTTCTTGTATCTCTCTCCTAAAACTGGGAAAAAACTGGAATAAATTATATTTGATTCATCAAATTTTTATTGTATGTATTGAGTTGTACATTACACAACCTAAACATAAAAAGCAGAGAGGTAGAACATTCCATATTTTGCTCTCTTATAAGACAAATGTAGTTACTTATTACTTTATGTGGCCCTTGATTTTTTTTGTGGGGTGGGGGACTCAGTCGCTTTTGATGGGAAAAACAATTAGTGACCTTGCCTTAACTTTCTTGACCCTTGTATTAGCTGATCCACCATTTTTATTCTCAAACCATCTCAGAACTTAGCAACTAGAGGGTGAGGGGAGGGCAAGAAGAAACTTGAAGAAACTGCTAAGTATTCCAATAATAAGAAAGAGTAACAGTGTAGCATCAGCTTATGCCAGTTTTGGTAATTTCCAAAGCAACCAACTCTGGACACCTCAGCTAGCCTAAAGGGGTATTTTGGATAGTTTATGCCTAGCCTTAACTCACTTTAAGGGACTTTTTATTAGCTATATCCTCTGCCTGGGATTCCTTTCTCCTTGGTGGGGGAGGAGTGGGGACTTCGGGTCATTCTGATATCTACTTTAATATCACCTCCTCAGATTTCTTACCCCTCAACCTGGGTAAAGCCCCTAATCATCCCTTTCCCATTACACACAAATTTCATTTTTGCATGATGGTATCTATAGCTAGCTCATATTTTCTTGTTTAATTATTTGTTTTTCTGTCTCTCACCTTACCCCTACATACATATAGACTAAAATGTAATTGTCATGAGACTAAGAAATCTGTCTGTTTTGGCCGGGCGCGGTGGCTCAAGCCTGTAATCCCAGCACTTTGGGAGGCCGAGACGGGCGGATCACGAGGTCAGGAGATCGAGACCATCCTGGCTAACACGGTGAAACCCCGTCTCTACTAAAAAGTACAAAAAACTAGCCAGGCGAGGTGGCGGGCGCCTGTAGTCCCAGCTACTCCGGAGGCTGAGGCAGGAGAATGGCGTAAACCCGGGAGGAGGAGCTTGCGGTGAGCAGAGATCCGGCCACTGCACTCCAGCCTGGGTGACAGAGCCAGACTCCGTCTCAAAAAAAAAAAAAAAAAAAGAAAAAAAAAGAAATCTGTCTGTTTTGTTTTCTGGTATATCCCCAAAGAACAGAAGAGTGCTTGCCAGCATAGTATGTAATCAGTAAGTGTCTTTGAAAAAAACGAAATAATGGAAGGAGGGAGGGAGGAACAACTTTCAGCACATTCATTCAGTAAATATTATCAAGCTTCAATCATGCATGTGGGAAACAGGGGATACAAAAATGGACCAACTCATCAAAACATACAGTTAATAAAATGAACAGGTAACCCAAAGACTGAGAGAAAATATTCACAAAATATATATCTGACAATGAACTTTCAACCAGAATATACATATTCTGGTTGAAAATATATAACATATGTATACAACATAAATATATAACAGAATATATATATTCTGGTTGAAAGTTCACTGTCAGATATATATTTATATATATGTGTGTGTCTATACATATATATATAAAGAACCCCTACAACTCAATAATAAAAAGACGAACAACCCAACTTAAAAATGGTCAAAAGATCGGAACAGACAATTCAAATGAAGAGCTAATAAGCACATGAAAACATCCTCAACATTATTAGTAATCAAAGAAATGCAAATTGACATCACATTAAGATACCACAATACACTCAGTAGATTGGCTAAAATTAAAGACTGATAACATCAAATATTGACAAAGATGTAGAGGAACCAGAATTCTCACACACATTTATACTACTGGTAGGAGTATAAAATCGTATTATGTTTTTGGAAAAACATCAGTTTCCTATAAAACTAAGCATATACCTATCTATATCCCAGCAATTCCACTCCTAGGTATTTACCCAAGAGAAGTGAAAGTTTACAAAGTGACTTTTACAAGAATAGCTATAGAAGTTGTATGCATAATCACCAAAAAGTAGGAAGAGCTCAGGTATCTATCAAGAAGAGAATGAATAAGCAAACTGTGGTATAGTCACACAACGTGATACTGATAAGCAATAAAAAGAAAGGCACTACTGACAGGGACAACAACATGGAGGAATAATCAACATTATACTTAATGAAAGAAGCCAGACACAAAAGATTACATGCTGTATGATTCCATCCATACACAATTTTAGAAAATGCAAAATAATCTATGTAGAAAAAAAATCAGAATAGTGGTTGCATTTATGGGAGTAGGAACTGATTGGGAAGGGGCATAAAGGAACTTTCTAGAGTGATGGTAGTGAACATGTTTAGATAAGGTCATGGGTTACACAGGAGTATGCATGTATCAAAACTCATTGAATGGTACTCTAAAAATTTGTACATTTCGCTATATGTAAATTTTGCTCCCTTCAAAAAAGTAACCAAGCACAATCCCCAACCTCTGAAAGCATATGTCAGATGCAATGATGTGCCCATAAAAAATTTTCTAATAAATTGTCACATTAATGGGAGACCTATTGTGTATCAAGGACTGTAAAATCCACTTTTCTTATATTACAGGTTGAGTATTCCTTATCCAAAATGCTTGGTACCAGAAGTGGTTTAGATTTCAGATTTTGGAGTATTTGCATATACATAATGAGATATCTTAGGAATGGAACCCAAGTCTAAACATGAAATTCATCTATGTTTTATAAACACCTTATACACATAGCCTGAATGTAATTTTATAGAATATGTTTAATAATCTTGTGCACTAAACAAAGTTTGTGTACGCCAAACCATCAGAAAGCAAAGGTGTCATGTTGGTGCTCAAAACGTTTTGGATTTTGAAGCATTTAGTATTTCAAATGTTGAGATTAGAGATATATTTAATCCTCACAATAAAATCATCCCATGAAGTTATAGGTGGAAAAACTGAGGATCAAAGAGATTCGGTAATTTGCCCATGAGCATATAAGTAAGGGTGCAGAGGTGGATATCAGCCCAGGTCAGACTTCTAATATCCTATGCTAGAGGGCACAAATTTAGGTGACCACAGGAGCAAATCTGCCTTATTCAGGGCCAGAGCTGACATCTCATTCTCCTAAGCAGAAATAGAACTGAGAATGTTAATGTCATTTGCTATCCCTAGAAACTGGCTGAATTCCAAGTTGAATGTGACTTAGGCAGATTAGTCCCCTAGGAAATCCCCACTATCTGTGACTGGGAGGTTCAGGGATATATCCATTATCTATCCTTCCACTGACCTACTGAATTGGCCCAAATGTTCATAAACTACTTACCTGTGATAGAGCTGAGAGGGATGGGGGTATCAAGGCTCAGCCTATTAAACAATTTGCAGACTTTGCTTCCAAACAGGATGTGAACGCTCCTGCAACAACAACAATAAAAACAACACCCACACACACACCAAAAAAAAAAAAGATAAATTGCTAAATCGATAAGCAAGGATGAGATTAACCAACATTTCAAAGAGCAAAGAGCCCTTTCTAAGTGAACTGACAATCGGACTTTTTTCCTTCCCTGGGACATTTGCTAATTCTGGGCACTGTTGAAGATGAAGCTTGACTGTAAAGCAGAAGGACTCTCCTGAGGAAAGGAGAAATGAGCATAACTTTTGGCAGTTGGGAGACACTAAAATAATGGGCTGGAAACTTGAGAAGCCCAAAATGCAGGGCTAGTTTTTCTTACCTGAAGTCACCTGAGTTCTGGGCTGGTGTCTGGGCAGGAAAGGCACAGGAAAATCTCCTGCAGTCTCCTGGTACTTCAGAGACAAATTCTCCCTCTAGAGGGGAACTGCCCCAAACAGGCCACCGGTCTCCACTTTAAAAGGTTACCTAGATTTTGAAGTTAGAGGGACAAAGGGAAAACTAATGAGTCAAAAAGATCAAAACCACTCCCAAAGGGCAATTTGGACAAAATGATTCTAAAATGCATAAAGATACATAAAGGGCTAGTAATATTGAAACATCTTCAGGAAGAACAAATTGAAGGACATATGCTACCAGATATCAAGGCTAGTTATACAGCTACAGAAATTAAGACAGCATGGTACTGGCTCCAGGACAGACAAATCAATGGAACCATGACCCTTACCTCATGCCAGATACCAAAATAATACCAATAATGATTTGAAATGAATCATAGGCCTAAATATGAAAGTTAAAACAACAATGCTTCTAGATCACGCCACCAGAGAAAATCTTCATGATCTTAGGTAGGCAAATATTTCCCATAGGACAGAAAACATTAACTATGAAAGAAAAGATTAATTACACCTTAAGAGGATGAAAAGCCAACCACAGACTGGGATAAAATATTCACAATATATATCTAACAAAGGACTTATATCCACTACACTCATACATTTTTTAAACTCCTACAAATCAATAAGAAAAATATAATCAGTCTAATTTTTAAAAAATACAAAAGAATTGAACCGGCACTTCATAGAAGAGAATATCCAAATGGCTCATAAGCATATAAATAGGTGTTCATCACTATTACTCATCAGGGAAGTGCAAATTAAAACCACAATGAGATATGCAAAACCCACCAGAAGAGCTAAAATGGAAAAGACTGACAATACCAAGAACTGAAAACATGGAACAACTGGAACTCTCATAGATTGCTGGTGAAATTGTTAACTGGTACAACTACCTTGGAAAACTATTTGGCAGTATCTACTAAAACCAATCATACCTCTATCACATGACCCTGGAATGCTACTCCTAAGTATATAACCAAAGGGTGTACAAATATCCACCAAGATACAGGTACAGGAATGTTGAAATAAACCAGATGCATAAAATTAGCTATCATATCACTCCATTTACATGAAATCCAAGAACAGGCACACAAATCTATGGGAAAGAAGTGAACAAAGTGGTTACCTCTGGGTAGGGGGTTATTGACTCGGAAGGGATATGAGAAAGCCTTCTGGGGTGCTGGGAATGTTCTATATCTTGATATAATCACATATGTTAAAAAACAAAAGCATTGATATGCACCCTTAAAGTTTGTGCAGTTTACTATATGCATGCCATACCTCAAAAAAATAGTTTTATTTTTTAAATTTTAGGCCTCCATCCTACAAAAACTAATGAGGACAGCAAGACAGTGATAAAAGTCTTACCAGGATTCAGCAAGCCAGTCATCAAAGTTAATGAAAATGGAATGAAGTATGAATATGCAGGGGAGAGTCCCTTTGGCCTGTGTGGCTCTCTACTTCATGGCAGTGCTAAGGCAAGAGACCCTTATGGCTAGGCAGAGTTTTTAATTGATACAAGATGAGATAACCTATATCTTACAAGTAGCTCATAAAGACCCCTGAGGCAGAGGCCATACTATCCATCTGGTAACTGAGATCTTTGACCCCATTAAATTTTTATTAATCTCTCTCTCTTTTGACATTTTCTGTCTGCACAACTAATCAAAAGTCACCATTTTTCTTTTAGCTGAAGGTCCTATCCGGCAATTTTGCAATGCTCCTAATTGGAAAATTGGCAATAAGTGTCTAACAGTAGGATGGAAAAAAAGCAAAGAAATCCAAATCCTCTGGGTCTATCTTTATAGTTGATAAGCTTCTTTGTATTAGGTAAGGTAAATTAGTTCATATCCAAGGAGAACAGAGGCAGTTATGTGGGAAATATTAAAATGCACCTTTAGTGAGGGTGGGTGCCAGATTCCTATTTACAAACAGGTAAATTTTTTTTCCATAGTGCTCCCTTCTCCAACGCTACAGTAACATTTGGATACATGCATTCGATATAGATTGTTTTAAAAAAAACGCCTACAGACATATAACTTCTCATTGCCCTCTTCACCCCTTGAGGAAACGTCAAGAGAACTTTATCCACAAAGGGCAAATTTTCACAATTTTAACATAACAGAAGCATCTCTAGGGGCTTTTGTTCATAAAATGAACAAAAAACAGTATTTACACTTTAAACTCTTTCTGAAAAAGCTACAAACTTTTGCCTTTAAAAAAATAACTGTGTGCAATACAGCATTTGCCTGTTATAGGATCTGACATTTAAAAATCCCCATGAAGCATCTTTAATTTATCAAGAAAGAAAGGAAAGAATTGTGCAGCTGAGGAGCTAAACATGGCCCCTTCTTGAAAATATATGAAAAATTCAAAACTAAAACTAAAAAAAGGGGGAGTAGGAAATGTCCTTATGGTCAATTTAAACCAAACTCTACTGAATTTCTTTCCTCCTCCAAATTTGTTCATTGCTTCAGAGAAAAATCAGACTGGCTTACCCTTCAGAAAAACAACTTAGTAGAGAAAAACAACCACTTTTGAAAATACATCTTGGTTATTTTCCTAGACAGATACAGTGTTTCCTCAAAATACTGTTCGAACATGAGGATAGACACTCAATCTTAACCTGGTAGGACCCTACACAGGCTTGTCCCTGAGGCTTGGCCACTATGAGATGCTCCCAGGCCCTTAGAGAGTCTGGAAAGAGATGTAATACTTCTGGAAAGATTTTTTTTGGTTTTCAAATATTACAGTGCAGATGACAGGGTCTAAAATAAGGGAAATAAAAACAGAGCTTGGAGGTAACAAGAACAGGGGTTCTATTTCCAAGTCTTTCTTCAGCTTTCTGAGAGGGGAAAAAAAGTTGTGGTTGTTTGTTTGTATATGCTTTTTGGGAGAGATATAAAATGATACCAGTGGTTATAAGGATAGGATCTGGTATCCAAAAAAAAAAAAAAAACCACAAAACCTGTATTTGAATTTCAACTTCACCACTTACTAACTAGAAGGTTGCTAAGCTACTCTTTGTGTCAGTTTCCTCATCTGTAAGATGAAGATAATGACAGTTGTGAGAATTACATTAGTTAGTTAGCACAACAAATTTTAAATGGTGTCTGGTATATAATTAGCACCTAATAAATGTTAGCCGATATAATTGCACTGGAGAAATTCCAGGATCTGGGAAACAGTATGTGGTACATCATGACTAGTGAATAGCTACCTGTGGAAGGCAGGAGAAGAGATGGCTGCAGGCATTACAAAAACTGGAAAGACATGCCAGAGACACAATTCATCTCAGAGTTAGAACCAATATTCGATGATGACTTTGAGCTTGGGTAAAAATGTGAGGGAACAAGACTGTCTTGAAGCTGTAGTTCACCAATGACCCTTTCAGGAGACCTAAGGACAATCAAAGACTGTAGAGAATCCTTGAGGATTAGCAAATCCTCCTAGTCTAACTTCCTCTGAAGCACTTCCTTATTCTGGCTTTGAGCTTTGGTGGGACTGTAGCTCACATGCACCACTCCTGGCCTGGTGAAAGCTAACTACATTGTGAGCTACACATTGACTATGCCTCCAACATACTGCCAGTTACACAGAGCATGCCCTCCACCTGGTATTGTGACAATGATTCTTTCGAAGCATGAAATCCTTAGAAACATTTACTTGGAAAGTAATCGGCAAGGTCATTGAGACAAGACAATAAAGGCCCATTATCCTATGTCTAGCGTGACTTCACCCAAACTAATTCAAAGTTTCAAGTATTCCTTTGTGAATCATTTGGATAAGAAGGAGAGCATTATGCAGATATCTTTGTGTACTTTTTACTTCATACCATCCTAGCCTGGATTTAGTCCCTAACTTCAGAAATATATCTCAGAAATTTGATAAGAGAAAGACGAAGCACCAGTTGTGGCCTCCTCTATGTTTCTGTGGCAAATGCCAGCTTGCCAAGAAAGAACAGGTTAGTGTATTTTACCACATGGAAAGATGATCACAGATTACAGATTGCTTCCCTCTGCCTGCAAATGTGCTTAATGCCTGTCCAGCAAAGGAAAGGCCCTTCTGTTTTTAATGATTTCAAAATAACATTTCATAGCATCCCTTGGTAATTCATTCCAATATTTTATAGTTTCTTACTTCTGGTAATTATATCCTCAACTATGTTCACATACATTAACTTATAATAATCCTGTGTAGTGGCCATGCGCGGTGGCTCATGCCTGTAATCTCAGAACTTTGGGAGGCCAAGGCAGGGCAGGCGGATCACGAGATCAGGAGTTCAAGACCAGCCTGGCCAGCATAGTGAAACCCCATCTCTACTAAAAATACAAAAAATTAGCCAGGTGTTGTGGTGGGCACGTATAATCCCAGCTACTCTGGAGGCTGAGGCAGGAGAATTGCTTGAACCTGGTAGGCAGAGGTTGCAGTGAGCTGAGATCGTACCATTGCACTCCAGCCAGGGCGACAGTGTGAGACTCTGTCTCAAAAATAAAATAAATAAATAAAATAATCCTCTGTAGCAAGGATTATACCTATTTTACACTTGAGGAAATGAAGAACCAAAGAGGGTAACTGACTCGCCAAGATTGCACAGCTGATTAGTAGCAGAGCAAGAATAAGAATCTGAATTCTTGGCTAGTATTAAAAAGTCAGAAAATAACAGATGCTAGTGAAGTTGCAGAGAAAAAGAAATGCTTATACGTTGTTAGTGTGAGTGTAAATCAGTTCAGCCATTGTGGAAGACAGTGTGGCAATTCCTCAAAGACCTAAAGACAGAAATACCATTTGACCCAGGAATCCCATTACTAGGTATGCACCCAAAGGAATATAAATCCTTCTATCATAAAGACACATGCACACATTATGTTCATTGCAGCACTATTCACAATAGCAAAGACATAGAATCAATCTAAATGCCCATCAATGGTAGATAGGATAAAGAAAATGTGGTGCATATACACTATGGAGTACTATGCAGCCATAAAAACAAGATGATGTCCTTTACAGGGAAATGTTTGAGCTGGAGGTCATTATCCTTAGCAAACTAACACAGGAACAGAAAACCAA